CATACGACCATAGGATCATGAAAATTAGGCTTCCCGTCCGCTCAGCCATATACAAGCATGATACCGGCGGATTAGTAGTTAGGTGGGTGACCACTAGCGAATCCCCGCTGTTGTATGTTTTTGCCTTCTTTTTTGCCCGCGGCGGAGAAGAACAAGACGTCGCATAACAGGCGATGGATCGTGTTACAACGTCGGCGTGTGCGCTTATTTTTTGCGTTAAGCGTATCACCAGCACCTAAGCAGTCCCTTGATCATCATCGTAGCCTATTGTCGATTTTTAAAGTCGTGATCGTGACTGCCAACGTGGGTGATCTTCGGACAGACTCGGCAGCGCCTGCCAAGGTAGACGAGAACTCTGGCGCCGCAAGAGATGCTACAACAACTTCATCTTTTCGTAGTTCTTCCGCGAGACATCGCATGCTCAACATCTGTTGTATACGTCGCAATAGCACTTCTCGTATGTGGGACAACTTATCAAAGTCAGCGGTCGCGCTTCGCGGTTTCGGTCCATTGGGTACTCACTAAACGGGCTCCTGCCCAAACAGGACGTGCCAAAGGTACTCGAACACCCTTCCGCTTGTCTCGTCCTTCAGCGGAGTCTCCATCAGCCAAGTGTAGAACGTTTTGTATTCGTCCAACGACCGCTTTCGTATCTGCTCGCTCGACACGGCAAACTGCGCGCAGCAAGGCGTCGCCAGTACATGCGGTACGTTCGTGTTATTGAACAAGTTTCGCCACGCGTCTGGCATCGCTGCTTCAATAGTCCGATGCTCCTCAGGCGGATCACGAAACGGCATCACTTCGTGCGGACAGCCGGGATCGTTGACGCAACGCAGATTCGCGTAGCCGTTGCTTTGGATGAAGTTGATGTTGAGACTCTGCAGAGACACGACGTTGGAATGCTCTTGGTTGTCGGTGTGCCACGCGACCGGGTAGCCATCTTTGTGCGGATGTATGAACGCGATTGTTGAAGGAAGGTTGTCGTAGTTCTGCACGATGTACGCGAGGTACGCATTTGCTTCCATTCCTTTGTTCCGGAGGGTGCGTAGAGTGCTGTTAGTCATCGGATCCAGGGTCGATATGTTGTGTGGAGTTTCGGTGTCGATGTCGTAAATGGCTGCTTGCCAGTCTGGTAGATCGGTGTGCACCCAATCTGTTTTGTCGGTGGGAAGCTTTGCCATTACCACGACGCGATCAGGTAGGGATGGGGTAGGTGTCGCGACAGCAGTACTTTGCGTCGATGTGCTTATATGTTGAGAGGACGTGGAGGTCGATGATGCTTCTCCTTTCGCGCCTCCATGCGCACCTTCCTGCTCGGATATCTCTTGCTTTCCTGCCGCTTCCGTTGACTCATGTCGCCATGGCTTCTTATCAACGCTGGTCTCGAGAGAACCTCCTTGGGCGACATTGAAGTGGGCGTCGAAGAGATACCATGCGCAGAGTAGAAATACTGCTACCACTATGGATTCGATCTGTCTGCGGGAACGCATCATCGCTTGATGCCAAGTGGGTTGAGGACCTGAGAGTTGATGGAATTGGATCCGCGATAACTCGGGCTAGAGGTGTTCGAACAGAATATCGGGAGGACCTCGGTGATTACATCGCGTGCCATACGTGCGCAGGTAACATCTGGTTCCTAGAACAGTTGCCCATGATCAGGTAGTGGAGAGTAATTGTAGCGCGCGCCTTCTCGAAGGGGAGGTGAACTGCATTTCTTGCAAGGGACAGAGATGGGCACAGCCTCGTCGCAGCACGTAGCCCCAAGATGTGACATTGCGGCACAGTAGAGTTAATATCAAGATAGGGCAGGTACAAGGAGTTGGTTGCGCGCGCTTGTCCTATGGCGCTAACCGGCGCTCGCTGGTTGGTGAATTCGTGGGGCTCACGCTAACCCGATGCGATCACGATGCAGCAGAATATGAACAGAGTATAATACAACACCGGATTGATCGGACTTGCGACTCAACTCTTGTGGGCTTCATCATGTGAAGCCACCTTACAGCCTCACTATGCACCTACACCAGCCATTCCCAGCTTCTGAGTCCTCCGATATGTCGTCACTTGTCAAACCTCGGAGCATTAGCATCAATTTTCCGGTTGTTACTGTCTCGCAGAATTACAATCTTCGCCAACGTTGCACAATGTCACTGTGAGCAATATCCTATCATTGCACCTTTTCTCCATCCGTCAAGCAAACACCGGATCGAAGACTTCCGGCATCGTTGTGGTGATAAGCAAAACAAAACAGTACCTAGATGAGCGCAAACTCTACAGGGGGCTCATCGAAGCTGTGTGCTTGTTCAAGCCTTTCATCACACCCTCGTTAGAAAGAAGCGATAGAGGTGCCAGGTGGCGGGATTGGCGTGAGGGTTGCGCGCCACTGCTTTCCTTTTGCATCGTAAACGAGGATCAGGTGGCGTAGTGGCTGATATGACAAAGCTCGAGTCGCAGAAGGCAGATGAGAGGCTACTGATGGACAGTTACAATGCCAGTAGGGATTCGAGAACTTAATGCAGACCGATAGAAGGTGGTAGAGCTGAATGATGTATGGATGACGGTAGATATTAGTAAAGAATTTGATAACCTTATATAGAACCTTCACGTAACTGAAATCACAAATATTACAAATAGGGATAAGTTTAATGGTAAAATGAATGATGATTTGAGGTATAGACCGAAGTCACAACAAAGTCTATAGACAAGAAGGTAACGTGGTATCAAGAAGGTAAAAGGTAAAAAGGTCGTAACTCGTTATGCGTCTATCAAGACAGCAAACTTCTAAGCAGTGGCGAAGATCTTGCCAATGCTAGACAGGCTCTGGCCATCAGCAGAGATGAGGTACTTCTGGTCGGTGCTAGGTGCGACCATGTGGTAGGCGTAACGCTCAATCCAGGACTGAGCGTCCATCCAGGGAAGGACCTGCTTAAGGAACTCGTCGGCGTTGCCAGAAGTGACACCAAACTCGGTGACCCAGACGGGCTTGTTGAAGGTCTTGTGGAACTTGGTCAGGTAGTTCTTGAAGTCCTGAGCGTTGTCCCCTGCGTAGTAGTGGGCGACGACAAAGTCGATCTGGCAGCCGTTGCAGGCAGACATGAATTGCTTAAGGTAGTTGATTCCCTTGTTGGGCTCGTCGGCGTTGGTGACGGAAGGAGAGCCGATGCGGAGACCCTGGGCAGCGAGGGGCTGGATGAACTTCTTGTGGGTTGCGGCGGCAGTGGCGACATCGATGTTGGAGCCTCCACCACCAGCTTGGTCGGGCTCGTTGAAGCTCAGTACGTGCGAAACCTTGTAGTTCTTCTTGGCATTGGCAATGTTGGTGTTCCAGCCCTCAGTGCACCACTGCTGGTTGGAGTGGAGAAGGGGGACGTATTCAAGGTCGAGGGGTGTTCCGTCGATGACTGCCTCCCAGTCGTACATCCAGGAGACCTTGGAGCCGGCGAACTTGTGAGTCCACTGGGATCCAGAAACACCGTTGTGGTTCTTGGGGAAGGCAAGACCACGCTTGCTTCCACCACGTGCCTGAAGAGGAGATGCCTCGATCATGGAGGAGAGGCCAGCAAGGGCCAAAATGAAGGTAGAGGTAAGCATGATGAATGAATGAATGACAGATCAGTTGATCAAGGAATGACTGTGGGGTTGCTAGAGAGCGCGGTTGAGTTGGATCTTCAAAGGAGTGAGATACCGCTTCATGGTGCCTTCCTCGACTTACTTATATTTACGGAAATTAGGAAGCGCCCACAGTGAACGGAACTAACAGCTGTGGCCCACCGCCTGTGCGAGCCAGCGCATGGCGTAGCCTTCTCGGCCTTTCCTGCAGTGTTTCACCCAAGCCTACTGCCAACTCCGAAAATCCACGTGCGATAAGACCATCTCCCGCAAGCCCGGTCTGACGGCGCCGGTTGTGGGGTTTGACCATTCGTCAATCTTGGTAGGGCTGTAGGGGCCAAGCTTGATGTGGAAATTACACGTCGGGTAGCTGTCAAATCACGATGCTGACGATTGATCGTCGCCCGCCGAGTCGCTGGAGCCACGTTGGTTTTCGCGGCATATGCACGAGAAGATCTTGCGTAGTAGTGGGCTTGGGGAGCGACGTTGGGGGACCTAACGCAGCATCCATGTCTAGGCTAGCTGTCTGTTCAGGAACAGCGCAGGAACAAACAGGAACAAGTTTTTGGTGACCGGACGAGGCATTGTTCTGGACTGCGGACTGACTTGGGGTGGAGCGCGCTAAGCAGATTAAGGCAGGCGTCGCCCGGCATCAAAAACGTCCCGCGCAGATCCTCACCATTTCGAGTCCACCCATGCACAAATCACCAACGACAACGTGTAATGCTGTCATGCGAATCGAGACGATACGAGGTGCGTCATGATTCATCGCAGGTTGCGACGACAGTGCTGCGCGCATTGAGCTTTGTTGTGCAGCAAGGACCTCCGAGACAGAAAGTAAACAAGGCTTTGCTTTTCTGACTTTCTCATAATTTGGATGCGCCCACCAATCATAACCATGAGACAAGCCTAGAAATGCCATGGGCCCGTACCGAGCCGCAATCTTCCGTCAACCACCAGGAACGCCTGCTGTCCATCCGGCGGCATCTTCAGGCGGTGCCGCAGGCGACGGCGTCGACGCCTCGCGTGCTTTTGACATTTTCACGTGGCGCTCCTAACACGGCTGATACTCCACGGCTTTCTACTGTGGCCTCTGAACGCCGAGGTGAATGACACTTGACGACTGGTAAAGGTCGAGACCCTTTTACAACCAAGTCGCTTCATTCGCTCTCACATGTCAGCGCGATGTCGGTCCACAACTCTGGAATCTGGCATTTGGGCTGCAGTCCACAAACTTCTGTCAGCCTCTACAGAACAGACTTTGATAGTTCTCCACTCCGTCACCGATCATAGGTTGTACGCAAAACTCTGCCTCATCCCCGCTTTCGAGCGCTCACAGCACGTAAGACGTTCCACTCGCGTGTTGAAAATTGCGTTTTCCGCAGCAAGATGCCGAGTACTGTCGGTTGTTGTGATAGAAAGAGACGTCTGGGACCTAAGCATGTCTGAAGGAAGACCTGGGCCCTTCGTGCCGGGCTCGAGTACCATGGTAAGAGCGAGACCGGCACTTGCATTACATGAACGGCCTCGGGAATCTTGAGAAAATCAGACTCACATCCGACAGTCCCCACGTATCAGCATACACGGAGCAGACATTTTACTACCATACGTAAATGTCGGTTGTAACCAAGCGACTACGCTGCGCTAACGCACGCGCAGTGCAAGCACCGGGTGAAGGAATTGCCGTTCGTTGAGTTCTAGCGTGAACGACTGCATTGCAGTAGCAGGCGCGACAGCAGTTCCCCGCCCGCGAACAGAAACATGGAATGAAAACGTTGCATGTTGGCTGCATTACCTCGATGCACACACTTTCAGCAGGAGAACCGAGCAGTTCGTATTTTGCGACGGCGCCGTTGACCGCGCGGCACTTTCACGGCCCGACATCCTCGTACCTCGACACTTTGCGTTTGAACACCCGTCCAAGCCTATCGTACTTACGTCATGTTGCTGGATACCACCTGGGTACATTGATGCATGCGCATCGGTTGAGAAAAGCATGATCAGTCGCTTGAACACTGCTTTTATCAGCCACCTCCCTGTGGAGTCTGTGGCTTTGACCTTGTTGTGGCTCGTTGATAAGGAAAAAGCACTAAACGCGGAGAAAGCACAGAGGAAGCACTGATGCTGTCAATAGCTGTACGAACTCGTGTTGCTGCCAAGGGGCAACTCCATCGCAATCTTGCTATTATTGATAACGGCGAGGCTGGCATGAATCATTGAAGGAGACTGTGCGCGATGCGGAGAAGGCCATGATGCGGACTTTGCTCCTGTCTTGACAACGGTCGATACGAAAACCTTCCGGTGGCATCGTGATAGTCGATGCGTCGGCTCTCCCTATACAGTCTGTGTTCTTCAAAGGCCTCAATACGTGGCTATAGGCATGGATGGACATGAGTCGATAAACGGAAGTCTATTAATAACCATCGGCTTTAACGTCGTCGACGATGAACATGGGATAACGTTTTGACATGTATTGGCAAGAGAACAACAATTTGGCAACAAGACAACACAGACAGAGCGAGGCTCGCTTTCGCGCAAGGCATTCCCGTAAGAACGCTTTGGGGACTGCATTTCC